GGGAGGCGATGGCTTTGCATGCAAACACAGGCACAGCTCAGCGAGGAATGCAAAGCTCTGAAACAACAACCGCCTCTTCTTTACTGTAAGTCTAAAGGCACTATAAGTAATGAGAGGAAAAAACAAAAACCTTGAGTAAACGGCTCGGGAAGCTGCTGGAAAGAAAGCAACCCCATCTGGGTACAGCTGTATACATGAAAGGAAGGCTGGTTTAAACAACTGCACACGTTAAAGTTCAGCTGGAAAATTCAGATCTTTTGCCAATAGTTAGCTTTTTTCCAGGACTACGAGAGCCTGGTTTTCAATACTTTAATGAAAGGCTGCAGTTTGGATTAAGTAGTTATGGCACATAACTTCTGGATCATAAAAATGCACACTCCCCTGTGTGTGAATGTACACAACAGGTGTACACAAGATATATACAGTGTGCACCACGCCTCTATGCAGATTTAACACAGAAAGAAATATAATTTAGTTATAATTATATAGTTACAGTCATAATATAATTCAGTCCTGAAGTGAAGCAGCTGGCCACTCACACCTGAAAGTAGCTATCTCAGCTCTGCAGTCCCCTATCCATCAACAAATCTAGTCACCAGGCTTTTAAATGCAGGACATGCTTCAGCACATGCCGTGCAAAAATGTACTTGTAAGCAATGCCCAAATACATTGTGTTACATAAGGCTTTATTGGTAAAAAAATACTAATTGTTTCAGAACTTAACAGAGTACATATTGCTTTGGAAAACACGGGGAAGAAATAATCCTAATTTTGCTAACTTTCAACCTCAGTATTGACACAAAGCCATTAATAGTCTTATATAGTGCTGGCAGAAGTTTGTGCCTCGTGGAGCCATCCACTTCTAAGCCATCTTACCGCCTTAGAAGACACTCGGGAGGCGCTACCAAAGACTGTCTACAACAACCCAGCAGGACCAAGCACAGGAATGTGAAGAAGGAAAATTCAGATCTTGAGAGCGACCCTGGGTGAGACCCTCTTCACCGTCACTGGTGTTGGCTCAGGCAAAGGAAATCAAGCTCCCGCAGACAAACCTGCTGTGAAGCCTCTGCTGGCTTGGGCAGCAGAAAGCCCTTCCAGGCTCAGCTGAAGGGCTGTGGGCAGACTGGGAAGGCTGCAGTTTCCCTCTTGTCCTGTAGCCCTGACAACAAGCAAGTCATACTCAGCACATCCTGCCTCCCGCCGGGGTCAAGCCTGCCCTTGCAATTTGCCACGGGCTGGCAAATAAAACGAATGCTCTACAACAGCCGGTTTCTCCAGGCTCACAGCCTACCTCAAGACAGTGCTGGAAGAAATGCTTAATTCCAAGCATACAAGCTGGGGAACCCACGACGCACAAACAGATGTACAGGAACATTGTTTAACGATGAATGCTCATGACAGCCAGCACTTTCTGTGCCTCTGTGTTCTCTACCATGTGACAGCTTGCTTTTTACTGCTGTTGTACCCACACTGCACCATTGATCTAGATTTGGTTTCACTGTGCATCAGTAAATTGTGCTGTGCGGCTTCCACAATAGGTATTATGTCATGTATTAAAAATAGATTGCTTTTCTATATCCTGTTTTTTCCTGGAGGGACCTTTTTCCTGAGGATTTATTTCCAGTGTTTGCTGCTGATGAGTCAGTTCCATGAAAAAAATCCTCCCGCCAGCCAGATAGCGTTGAGGCTCTGCGGTTGTTTCTCACTGGGGATATCTGCTTCAGAGTGGATTTCCACAGATATCTGCTGTGAAGCTTCATGTACAGGACAGGATGCGAGCAGACCGGTGCTCTCTTTCTAGGTCTGCCATCTATTCCATGTGTGACTTCAATGCAATCTCTGTGCCTTCGTTTCCCCATTTGGGAATAATTTAAAAAGAAATCAGACTGAGTAGGTCAATCTAGATAGCATCAGATAAAACAAGAGAGCAGGAATTTATATTTCGTCTTGATACTCAGCAGAAGAGATGAAGTGCCACACTCAGTGCCACGCTCGGTGCTTGCCGTGCACTCAGCAATCACACCCCAGGCTAAAATGCGATGAGTAATTTTCTATGTTAGGACTAACTTCATTTCAGCCATTTTCTGCCGTGGAGACATACCCGGAAAAGCCAATAGGTGGCAAACTGCAGCCTTCCCTTTGGAGCCTTCGCACTGACTTGAGCGCCCAGGACAGTGAAACCCGTCTCAATCTCTTCTAGTGCGAACAATTTCTTGCTGCTCTCATTGCACGGTAGATACCGCTCAATCTTTGGCTCTTCCACGCTTGCACTATGCCTTAGATATTACCGATCATTCCAATATCCCAGCGATTTTATAGCACCACTGCTGAATTCTTTACTTGGACATGGAACAGACAGTCCAAACACAAACTAGCGTATTTCAGCTTCAAAGAAAAACTGTCAGATGTATGCAGGACAACAGAGGAATACAATGTGCAGCATCTGCTTCCACATCAGTGCGTGGAAGTTCCTGCGACTACAGGAAACCGCTCAGCTCACAAACTTCTTGAACAGCAAGATACAGCTGCTTAGGGCCTGTCAGAAATAAGGAATGGCCTTGGCTTGCAGTGGACAGACTCTGTTAAATTTCACCACGTGCAGTTGACACAATTTGTCCCTTCACCTGTAGCTTACGTACAGCGGAAACGGACTGGACAGAGAAAAAGAAAGAAAATTGTCCTCTGTTTTCCAAAGACCTGGGGGTAAGTACAGGGGGAGGAAACGTGCAGTACGTGTGCAACTTTCTGTACTGTTAGATGCATCCCACAAATGAGGAGAATTCAGCTTTATAGGCCACTGCCAGTGCAATGCATTTCGCAGGCACCAAACTCACCTCATGACAAATTAAGATACATGTTATTTAACCTCCTAACTTGCTCACTTTTTCATAATCAATTTGAGAGATGTCAAATATCAGAATAAAAGCAAAAACCGAGAGCGTTAGCAGCCCTGCCACTGCCATTTCCATCACGCAGCACCACCAGCCTCACTAACACGGCCAGAGTCTGCTGGCATAAGGTGTCGTTCGCCATGACTGCAGCCCACCACGCTGACCCGCACGACGTCGTTATTTCCGTACGTATCCTCAGGGGGTCTTTTGTCTCGTAGGAGCTCTTAGGAGCAGTGCTTGGGATTTGTTCTTCTGAGCTTGAGCAGCACCCACACCCCCGTCGGTGCCCCTCTGTCAGAGCATTACAAATAAGCACACAGCAATAACTAGGACCCTCCACTCCAAAGGAGGCAAATGCCTGCCCAGATCCCGAAGGGGCATCACACCTCCGCTTTGCTGTGCACCATGAGGGGCTCTCAAAACAAAGACAACCGTGTAAAAAGGGATCTGTGGTTAAATCATATTTTTGCTGTTGCAAAAGCTCCTCTTTCAATCATACCAAGACCAAGCATTTACTCAAAGACACGGTCAGTAAGTAGAAGTACTTGGAAGTTTAGTGTATTGTAACTTAACTGTCTGTGATTTTTGGCTCCCTTCCCAATGAACCCTGCTTCCATTAACAGCCTAGTGCAGAAAGCCCCTGATGGGCAGGGAGGTTTCTTGTATTTAATTGGGTTTCTGTGTTATGAAGTAACATGGGTTACTTTTTCTGGCTAACCCATGGGTTTGCCTTCGGGCTGCTGGAGGGAATTGCCTCCATCGACGTGTGCTTGTACGACGTTCGGATTTAACTCTGAAGAGGTATTTTTTGCTCTTTCACGTCCCACAATCCTACTGACTTCGGCGAGGAAACCCTTATTTTGGGCCCGCTGGAGCGGGAAGGCAGCGAGGCTCAGGGGCGCGGGGCTGGAGCACCCAGCTGTGCCACGGTGCCGGCACAGGGCTC